AAATTTTAATTACCAAAAGTGAAACAAAAGACAGTTGTGTAACCATAAACGCAGTTAACAACGTCCCTATCTTGCATGAATACCAATGAATATTGGCCCATTTAATACTGTTATATGTCACCATTATGAAATGTTTCTATCCACACTGACCACGCCAAAACTACCCACAGTAATACAGGTGACGTATTTTTAAAACTGGAGCACAATGTAACTAGTGGTAATACCGATAAAAAATGTTAAGAGGCCCATATTTCCCGTATACTCCCAGCAACCTCAAGAGAGATGAAAAACTCACCACATTTGACTCGAGATTGAAATAGATCTGTAACAGAAATTTTGTGAGACTAGCGGGTACTTGTGGGCACACCAACCAGCCACGAACAACGTCGAAGAGCCGTCGCCGTCCAAATTCGTCAGAGAGGTCCAAACACTCACATAACAGCAAAACGTGCTCCAGCACACTCTCCGCCTCCATAACATTCTCGTTATAGTCAACGTCTGCTTGTAGCAGCACCAGAAGACTGTCCACACGACTAGTTAAAAATTATTACAAGAACACATGAGATGAGGCAATAAAAAAGTTCTCAAGCACAAAAGCTTCAATTTAGAATTTAAAGATTTCAAAACTTGCGTGGCATTAAAAAAATATACTTCCAGTGACGACTTAAACATCCGAATGTAAATATCTTAACAACTAGAAAGTGAAGCAGTGCTGAAGTGGTGCCTTTAGTTTTCGAGACCCTTTTACCTCCGGCAATGCTATCAAATTTTGTAGTTTCTTCAGTAGCCTATGTTCACCGCAGCACAATTATCAGATCCAGTGAAAATAAGTGGAAGACAATGCTGGAGTAGTGCAGTTTTACTTCACCTGGCGAATATTCTACTTCAGACTACTCCAATGTTTTATCGAATTACTGCAAACGCCCAAATACTTAAAAAAGCATAATGAGTCCGGTAATGAGAGGCATACGAAGGATCATGTTTCCAACGATGATTTAATGACATTTAACCCAAGAGAGTTGCGAGTAGAGGAGCAGGAATCGATTACGTACGTCCACAAATTCCCAAAATTCATTTGATAATCCTAGTCCTACATTGTCAACTTACTAAATGATAAAGTTAACATAATCTGAAACCGAGGGCGTTATACGCTCGAGTAGGGCTGAAATTCGATTGGGCGAGGAAGAGGAAGCAGTAGTGGTATGGAAGATTTGGCCATCCACCTCAACCTGATTGCTCGTACCGCCAGAGTCGTCATCGACATTTTGTCTTTTCAATAGATACTCGATTAGCACGCGCCAAAAGAACACGCATTCCACAGAACATCTATCGGGTTTTGGAATGTGCCTAAGTGAGGAAGACGCATGGATTAACAGATCAAATTTTCCTTACTAGCGAAACTTCTTTAATATGGGGGGAGGGGTTAATGAAAAAAAAAAACGTTCACAAAACGATTGGTCCTGATCCATACACACATTCAAGGAGCTTTGAACTCGCATGAAATCTATCGCTTACTTGTCGTCCAAATAGTCAGTTGCCCACTTGGTTGTCACAGTTACCAAGGTGTCCTCCTCCAAACTCGGCAATAAGTGGTCGAGACAGAGTTTACTGGTTTTGGGCACACCTTCAGTATCCAGCCTTCGTAGCAAGAGAATTGGATCTTGATCTAGGAAGTTGAACCAAGCGAATACCATTGCCTCTGCCGCTTTCCGGACATCGGCTAGGTGACAAACGAGAATCAGACGGTAAAGAAAAGCTTTTAACCCGGTGCTTTACCATAGAAGAGACTCACGTGAGGTGTCTGTAAGACCATCCTGCAGAATGGCGATGCGCTTAGCAATAGAGAGCGGTCGTACCACAGAACGCTGTGCAAGGATATTATAGGCGGTCTTGCGGACAGCATCAGAAACATCTCGACAACGTTCCACGATGACAGGTAGAGTAAATGTGGTGAGCACAGTGGCAGCGAGGGCGGCACGACGTACGTCTGGTGAGGTGTCGTGGCGTGAAAGCCACAACAGCTGTTCGATGACCGGACACTTACGATCTGTGGGATTCTGAAGACGTGCTAAACCGAGAGCTGCCTGCACGCGGATCATAGGCTGTGCACAGTGAAGAGAGTACGAACACTCAACGTGTACGCCCCGAAAACAGAATTAGTGACTGTCACTCCACCTTACGTTTATGTGCTCAAAGTCAATGACAAGTGACGAGTAATTTGTAATTTTTAAAATTTTTTGAAAGTCTTTAAGTAAACCAAATCAATAAGCTGGCAATTTGTAGAAGGTAACCCGAATCGGCTGAGTTAAGAGCCAAAGGCCAACCCAGCGCTCAAACCACCATCAGTTGAGTTGAAGACTGCTAAAAGTGTTGAAATTCAAAATCTTTCTATCTTTTCTCGTCTCATTCATACTACAACTTACAAGCATTAAACTGTTACTTTTTTAAAATCGCTATATCATCGGGTTTTTGCTCCAAGGCGAATCTTTTCTAAATGCATTTCTCATATCCATTCAAGCAGCAAACCATTTGCCTCTGAATAAGTTAGTAATATAGGTGCAGAATCAGCTATTTTTAAAGACCGCCACAACATCAAAACACCAGTGAGTCATACAAGCCTTTCAAATCCTAAGCAGCAGAATTAGGGACAGCATGCAACTCCTACCAATAAAACTGAGATCATAAGAAGCCATTGCTTAATAAGCATAGATTTCGAGAGCAGGACGAAAAAATAGAATAGAAATAGAGTAGAATACCGAAGGACTTCAGAGAAAAGTAATGCCTAAATCCATTACCTTTACATCTGTTGATCGACGAAGAAGCACGCGCTGAACGATATCGAACAGCTCCACCGGCAAGCAGGCCTCAGAGCCCATAGCTTCCAGCAATCTGTGAATCAACTGCGTGCACCGGAAACGCGGTGCATGCTTGACACACTCGTGGTACTGCGAAAAATAGGGAAGGCTGCATTAGAGGACGACACCCAACCAAAGTCCAGTGGGGAACCCAAAGCGATAAACAGCAATAGTGATTAGCGAATGTACAACAACAAATGTCAAAGCCAAACGCCAGCTAGAGCTTTTGACCCAGTCCTCGAAAAGCAGAATGCCAGCATGAGCAGACAAATTAGCATGTTCGCCTCAAAAAGTGGAATTGTGATGCACGGTGCCGTACAGCTACAAATCACCAAGCTCCTAGAGGTTCCAAAAGATGCAAGAAACGAGAAGGTTTTGGGGAATCTGTTTGCAAATAAATACTCCTTGCAAGCAGAAATCTACCCCCATGAGCGAGATAGCGGATCAAATGAAAATAGCAGATGGCGAACAGAACACAGCTGGATTGAAGGTAGAAGCATGTACCTTAGCGCAAAAGAGGAACATCTTAACAAGAAGCAGATTCCGGGGATTCCCATCCTCGCGTTCAGCGGCATTGGCGCTGATATGAACGACGGCACGAACAATGAAATCAATAGTCCGGTCTCTGAAGACATTACGTTCAGCACTAACCAAGGAGTAACGACAGAGTTCAAAAAAGTCCTCCGCGAAATGGGAGAATGGCATCTGCAGAAATGTCAAACAATCAAGAACTCAGAAGACAATATATACTCTCAAGCAAGTGGTGAATTGGGTACTTGAGAAGACATCGGTAACCATGGTATTTTGGGTTCAACTATTGGTGAATCGGAAACGGACAAACAGACCTTAAGGACGAAGACAAGTGTGTGAATTCAGGAAGCCAAGATAAAAACAACTTACCCTTGCATACAAATCCATCAAAGAGGATAACAGACGATCATGAGACAGCAAGGTTTCTTGACACTCATTGAATATGGACACAATATCAGGCAGCTTCGCCACAGTCCCTGTCATTTCTGAAACGAAGTCAGCACCATTCTCTAGAGTAACTCAAATCTGTCCAGCAAGAATGGGGCCAGAGACTTTCAAAGCCTGCTTATCTTGGTTGAACAAGTATATATGACCAAAACACTTGGTCATATATGATATCAAACAATATAGCGAAACCAATTAAGAGCAGCATCGCTTTAGACAACTAAAAGTAGATCGGAACTTGTGAAATCACTTCGCGGTTACGATAACAACAAATAAAATCAAGAGAGCAGTGCAGTAGTCTCCCGTAAAGTCCGTTTCCGAGAGGAACAGAGGTCAACCCAAAAGGCAAAGCAAGATATTTGTATAAACTCACATAACTAAAAGAAGACCAAGTCTAGGAGGTCGAAACAAAAACCACGTTACTGAAACACCACAAAACGCCCACCTAACACCTAGACAGCCCACTCAAAGTCGAAACATCCACCACAGCGATCGTTTGCAAGCTTCAATATATTTAAACACTAAGCTGTGTAAAATTTCCATTTTAATGGTTTACTTTGGGATGAAGTCTATTTTACTAATTAAAACTAGTTGTAGAGCCTGCCTGTCCACCCTCAGGCTCTTCAACCTCGGACTTCAGGAGAGGATTAGTCGGGGAGGCTTTACTAGGCATCATATACGTAGAGGAAGTAGGGGCGAGCTGATGGAACGAAAGCCAACGTCATCCTAAAAATGTATTCTTGAACCCCTCACGCATTGAACTCGAGTCCGATTCATTTACTTCCTCCCCCTATAAAGGCAACCTTAAGCACACTAGTATGCACTCTGCTAATCATCTTGTAAAATACAAGTATCACAACCTCAATGTGTTTTTTCCGCTTTTTAAAAGCAAACTGATAATCCCTAAGTCGAAAAAGTCAACCCAACAACTGCATATTACTGCGCTATCTATTCTTCACTTTGCCGGGAAAGATAAAGCTGCCCCGTAATATTTAAAAGGAAAGGAAGAATTAAGGTTTTTGTAACATTTTTGCGTAGCAGGTCAAAGAAGGATTAAGTATAGTTGATTACTTGCATCCTGGGAGGAAGGGAAGAAGTTGGACCTTGGCTCCACCCAATGATCGGCTTACCTAACCTTAGGCAAGATTAATGTCAAATTGACCGTCGTTCATATAGGTAGTCGCATAAGCAAGGCACTACAGCTCTAAAACCAAACGAAGACACTTTTGGCCAAAATATACATAGTTGGAAATCATTAGATTTCAGGACTTGCCATCACGGCCAAACAGCCGACCCACCAAGTGGACGTAAAATGTCTTATCACCGAACTGTTTCCTTATCTAAGATCACTTATCAAATGATCGACCAGTATAAAATATTTTTCCCAATTATGCTTAGGAATTTTGTTGCGAAGTAAGAGCAAGCACCATAACGTAGGCAACGATGTCCTTATAGCAGAATGGATTGTTGTTAGTCCACGGAAGATTCGCGAGTCTTTAGTCGGGTTGCCTTGGCTTGGCCCTACAAATCCACTGCCCGATGGTCCTCTTTAAGTAGACATACATTTCATAGTCCATATCGCCGCATGCTTCTAGTCCTCACTCTGACTCTCTATCAAATCTCCACCGTCAAATTGCAGATAACTGCAAGTCAGGTCTAAAACTAGCACCATTATATTGCGCCTTGATAGGACAAGTGGTTATAAGTAAAAATACCATCCATCCGCCGTGTTCGCATGCATCGGTTGTCTCCTATGACTTTCCAGAGCCGTAAGGAGTCACAAAGGTCTTGCAATGCTGTGTTGTGGTTTTAAAATTAGTAAGAAGGTGGTAGGTGTCATCAAACAAGTGGAGTACAGGTAAAAGTTGTACAGCTGCTATTAGGGCGAAGAGGCCTGCATCGGTTCTGGTTTCATAGTCTAATTCTGGACTCCAGCTAACATTCTCATGTAAAAACCGTGTTGCTGTACAAAATTGAAGTTTTGAAGAGATACAATCGCAGAATTACTATGATTGCCTTCCCTGAATAAGTACTAAAGGACGTGGACATTTTGAATGCCCAATTTTGTTTAGAGGAGAAAATATCTGTAGCTCATTTTGTCCTTGTCTAATTCTTGGTGTAACATGGTTTTATTTTGCTATCTCTGATTGGACTGATCCCCGTGCCATGTCGGGAACCTAGGGCTCTTTCTGTTCTCCGAGTTCATGTGATTGTTTGAGCGCCGTGCTTTCTTTCGTCTTAGTGTTCCACAGTATTCTTCTCACAATCGAATAAAAATAGTGGCCCCCAGTACTTCATTAAATTATCTACTACCAAAGTGAAAAGTTATTTAAGCGCATTCGTAGCAAAACATTTGACTTTGCAAAATTTTTCTTGCAATCGTATTGCTCTTCGTTCTTCTGCTAGGAGAATAATCCTCCAAAGTACCGGAATGGAAAAAGCACCGCTGCTACAAATAGCTTTGTTAGCTGACAAATGGTACGCCATGTTGAAGGAAGCTTAGCTCTGTCTTCTTTACGTAAACACTCAGGTTGTTAAGGCTCATTGTTTCCGGGGTATCCTCGTAAATTCTGATTACTGAGGGAAAATGAGTCTGGATCGAATCATTCGGATACACAATAAGACGGGTGAAAAGGTGCCTTTTTCCCCCTGAGTCAACGATTAACTCAGCACACTCACGTCATCATAATGTTCGCTTGTAATATTGGCGAATAAATTGACTCCAACTTGCATGTTGATCTCATGCAACGCTGAGAGGTGGTAAGATCAGAAAAATTTACTTAAATGTTAACAAAGTGATGCCGACTCGTGGAACTTTGGTGATGATGCTTGTCGAGTGCACTTTGTCCTATGAACCAATGGTTGAGTGATGGAAGAGTGTTTCGTCTAGTTAGACCTAAGTAAACAAAAGAGGCACTGCTCTGCGTTATAACAAAAGCATAGTAGACTTCTCAACCTGATTGGCGATTACTACGCGCCTTCTATCAGAAATATTCAAATAATATTCGCCCATAAGGTGCTGTAGAACTGACAGCAGTGTAAATTGAAGTAGAAATGAAAAAATGAAATAAAACTTTGTTAGATTGGGTATGTGGTGAACGGACTTTTGATGTTAGGCCTATTCTGACAACTGAAATTCTGCAAAAGGAAAAGGTTAGATCTGTCAAAAGGTTGTAGCCTATGGAACGCCTTTAGCTCTGTTCAGCGAAAATATTGCAGTCTATAAAACTTCATAGGCTTTATACATCCTTAGATGGGATCTCAAATCAATTTGATTGCTGCTGCCGTTTTCTGTTGTCTTAACCACTCCAACCGTTGACACTACGTTCTCCAACGGGGATGGGGCTGATGGCAGCGATTAAATAGAAGGCACTGAAAGGAGTGATGACGACCTTGAGAACCGAAGCAACTTGTTTTGGACGCATGAGTTCCCCTTCCGCCACAGAGACAGTGGACTTGTTCATATTGAAATTAGTCTTTATTCGCTACGTTCTATCCCACCTTTCCAGGCATAAATTGCAGACCAAAACTCAAAAGATAGCTTTCTTCATCATTAAATTCAAATAACATACATTTAAGGGGAAAGGGCATAAGAAAAAGTACTTGATGCCACTTTGAACCAAAGACCCTACGAAGCGCCAGCCAGAAACCATGCGGTAGCAGCAGTGTCAACGATGCCTCGAAATCACGACACCCCCAAAGTCTTCACAATAACTACCGACTAACCTCAAGATGCCGACCCACAAACACGTCCATCCCCCATGTGCTGACGGGCCTCAAATAGTCATGCTTCGGCACATTGCCATCAATTTCAATGTTTGCACCACCATAAGTGATGGCACTTTCTCCTCCATCATCTCTATATACCTTTATCCTGCCCACTACTGCTCTCCATTATGCAGTCTTCTTTGTGTCACCTAACATGCAGTGATAAGAAGTAACTACCATTAAATTAACTGCAGTAATATTAAAGCAGCACTTCCGTTTAACTCTTCATACTTCCGCCAACGCTTTCGGGAGGGAGTATAAAGGTTGGTGTTCTCTACTAAACATTTATGTTCCTGCTAAAATTGCCTATGAAGTAAATTTTTATTCAGTCATTAATCGTGGGTTTTACATTTCGTAGAGAAGATTGGAAGTGCTGACTTCGATTACACGGACTTGCCATTCTTCTGATCACTTCATTTTTTGTAGTCATTTTCCAGAGCATCCCAATGTTCCAGCTAACTTGCAAATTTCACTCTCTTTATTAGCAAAATCATTCAACACGGAACTTTTAGTGTTGTGAGTATTGGAGACCGAGGAGGGAGAAAGGCCAAAGTGGTGAGTGGGCTCTCCCTCTTCCGGTCGCGTTGACTGGCGACTTAATTAAACCTAGGAGCATTCAAGCGTTAAGCTGTCCCGTCAAAGCATCTGCAGCTTCTTGCAGAGTGACCCTTTACCTTCTTCCTGTTTCGCGCGAGAGAACCTTCCCGCTTTCAAATAGTTCTCATCCCCTCCCATATTCTGTGCTTAGCCAGTGAAAGAAAACCTTCAATGAGTAGCTGCACCGTCTTCACCTTCGATCGCATTTGGGTTGCATCTAACTACTTACAAGGATCGTGTATGCAAATAAAATCGTGTTTCGGCTTTGGTTCCACATGAGGTGTGGTTTTAGCCTAGGTTAGCGTAACAATTCATTTTTAGCCCCTTTACTCGCCATGATTTTAATTACCCATCTTTAGCACCTTCCGCGACATTATTTTAATTTTCTGAATAGCCGTCCCATTTTACGTGCTTATTAGAGCACAAATTGTACTGTTTTCGCGGTTTAGGTGTTACTTTTCCAGCAAAAAAATAAAACCCACATAAGTTAAAACCTAGCACTAAAGTGAATTTCGAACTGTGATCTTCGAAATGTGAGAAGTCCGCCTCCCTGAAGTTGCTGTTGAATTGTTCTTGACGTAACCCGATACCGTGTTGAAGAGGCAATTCCAATGGGACACGTCGACTAACTATTCTAGAGCAGAAACTACTCATTTCTTTTTGTCGTCACTCCAGTCGGCAAATTTGTTTGCGCATCTTTAACACTCACGGCCATTAAGTCGATTCAGTAAGACTCGCATCGCTTAAGGTTAAGTGATAGTTGGGGTCAATGACCTCAATTTTGTGATTGATTTCCTCGTCGATTGACCAAAATGTTGTAGTTTGGGGCTGGTGATAAACTCAACACTTCGTTTTTCCTTGATGAACATTGCTGTTTTGATGATCATACGCTAGGATAAAGTACGCAAGCTGAGGAAAAATGATATAAAAGACCACTCATTGTAGAGGCCATGACTTTGTTCTGTGTACATCAAGCATAATTGAGTATCTGGTCTACTGTGAAAGGTTTTATTTTATTTGTACAACATAAAACCTTTTAACCTTAAAGCTTTTGTGGGCTTTACAAGGAGGACTGTGGGATGTTATAGGGCTTGGACTTTTATGTCACAATGAGGAGAACCAGTAATATTCCCATCACCTGTGGACGTACGGTCCGCGTTCACGCAGAAAACAAGCCTGTGCAAGTACACATTCCTGCGTTGTAGGAGCCGCCTTCGGAAATGATGGGGTGGAGGCAGCAGAAGTGGGATGAGTGGGGGCGAGATTAAAGATGGGTGTGCGCGTGTGTTCTTCCCCACTAGAGTCATCAGATGAGTGCAAGCGGTGGAGAGGTGTGAAATTGGGCAGGAGGGACAACTGAATGACTTACCGCAGACATTCGAGAATCGCGATGTTACCTTGCCTATCTGTCTTCGCCCTCGCCCACGCGCATGAGAATACGAGTGTTATTTTTCACCTTTCAATCGTCTTAAGGAGAGGTCTATAACTTGAATAAATTCTGTCCCACACGAGTGGGGCGAAAGTCGTGAGATGTTATGCACACACCCTCACCCAACGCGTTCCTCTTCTGCTCACTTTCGTGCTGACCTTAGTGTCGCCAAAGCCTAACTCACTGATTAATTTCGTTCTCAACATTAGGAGCAAAGAGGTGGTGGCCAATGGAGATTTGGAGTCAAATGCTATGGCCTTGTTAGCCAAAACTATTATAACACATTGCGAACCTTAATTTTGGGTGAAAATCAGATCATTTTCCACAGCCATTGGTTACATAATAATGGATACCACTTTCCTGCCTCGGCCACATACCGTTAAAAATGGTTTGGCTTCCAGCTTCAGCAAAAAAGTGTACTGTAGCATCTACTTTTGTTTAATTTTTTTCTAGTACAGCGATTTGTGAAGGGCAAATGCTGAGTGTCATGCTTCAGCCACTAAAATTTGAGAATGGAGTTGCTCGAGTAGACAAAAGTGCACAGCGCAACCATGCTGAAGGGCATTTCGGCGGATGTAAATGGGGTCTTGTCCATTTGAATGAAGCCATCATAACAGAATCGTTTGGCTCTGAAGTGTTGAGTGCTTGGACATTCCAACAAGGAGCTCTCAGCGCATCCATAAACATATATTGTCAAAGAAACTTAAATGACGTTAGTAACTACGTCTTCACCTGCGGGGCTTTTTGGACTGTAATGAACACTCCCCCACCGTCACCCTATTACCAAGTCCACTTCATTTGGTTGTTTCGAGCGCTGATGTAGCAACCCTGTCTAAGGCCAAATCAGGCGGCTTTTTATGCTCCGCGCAACACCATCAAACTGACAAATCTAATCGTAATAATTTAAATCGACTCATGCCATCTGAGGTCTACACAATTTGTTAGCTGAATAAGTCACTCTAGAGATTTGCTCCCACGCTGCTATTAAAGTGTACTGCAAAATTTTACCGAAAATGCCTTGTTTTTGCCGCAGTGGCATAGAGTCGACGCACATCCCGATAAAGGTGCATTAATTTTGGCTCGATTGCAGCCACCATTACATGATCGTGAATGTAGACACCAGTTTCACGTATCAACCGCTTAATTTTTTTAAATGAGAGAAAATAACCATTCAAAATGGTTACAATATTTATTAGTTGATAATCAGCCTCTGTTTTAATGTTACGGTGAACATGGCGTTGAGTCTTTTGATACAAGGGTTCGGCTATCAGAACAGGGCTGTGGCTTTGCTGTGTACGATGTCGATGGAGGGAGGAAAGGGTGGGGAGAGGGATAAGCTGATGATCGTCGAATCATTTCTAATCAGCACGTAGTTATAACTCAGCTGAGTGGTTTCATTGAAGACATTGGGCTAGCTACAACGGATGGGAATCAGCATTGCCGATTCTCCTCTGACCCTCAAGTTAACTGAGAGCCTCTGAAAGTGTACCAATAATAGCCATTGTTAATTCGTAAAAATATTCCTTATTAGTAACTTAGTAAGAGCTGCGTTTGTGAAACTGTAGTTGTAGATATTATGTAGGGCATTTCTATTTTCGATGACAAAGAAAAAAACCACATTCCTTCCTATCTTATCCATTTGAAGTATTCGAGCACGAATTCAAATATTTTGCAAGCATTTTCAGAATGTCGCACTCACGCACTTTTATTTCTTCGTCCACCTACAATATCAAAGACCACGTCAGAATTATTTTGAGCGAAAGAAGAAATCACCTACTTTGCTTACCCATTCCTAAGGTTGAGGCCAAATGTAAGATAAGCAGCGCTCATGTAGAAGAAGTAGGATCTTCCAATTTAAATCTATCAAGTTGAGCAATGTATAAGTGACTCAGTCCTTGTTATCTTTTGCGCTTATCCTAAATTTTTCCATCAATATACCGTTAGCTGGAGCATCTGTATCCGTAATCCAATGGACTCATGGATGCCCGGTCAGCCATCTCCTCCCTCTTCGCCTACCTTGCATGCTAATTGAATAGTCCCATCTGCTCCCTTCATCCCCTCCCTCCATTGCGAGGATGGCACTATCAACTCACCTGAACCCACCGCTCCCACTATAAAATGATCAAACGGGTAGCACCCAGCAACCACCACCACGACCATATCAATCAAGCTAGTGGCTGCGCATATGCTGATTATGAAGGAATAAATAAACAATGGTCTGTGTGGGCTTTCAACCTAATGAATTTTCTAGCCTCTCTGACTCGCTGCGACTTGTCCACGTGCGTTCGCATGCCCTTGCGCACGTTCGTGGCTTCCTGCTCTACTCAAACCGAAGGACGTGAAGTTTTGACGCTTAAATTAACTCATCGCAAACATAAATCATATTCTTTCAGAAATACATATGCCTCATTGTTTTTGGAATCCACTCAAAGCATTGTCTCGAGGCTGTTTGATTTATCTTCTTCGGTTTCTTTTAAACAGGACATTGCTAGCGAAGTATCATCAACATCAAGCAAAACCTGCATTTCTTTTGTCTACACTTTTAACAGTGTTTTTTTGTGGTCAAAACAATGAGCGCCACATTTTTAACCTTTCAACAATTTCCAGGTACGCAAAGGTGGTGGCCTTAAGTCCTCACTTTTATCTTTGTGGAAACCTGGTTTCACAGAACTAGTTCAAAGCAAAATTAGAATGTAGCCTAATGCTTCTTTAAAACCATTTATGGGTAGCAAAAAGGTATGGGTGATTAATATGATGGTTCAATTCTAGAGAATAAAATAGCAGCATTAATTATAATGAAATTGTTGGATCATTGTTGGCTAACATTTCGCTACTGTGGTAATTTTTAGTGGATACCAAGTCAAAAAGACTTCAAAAACAAAAGGTGCAAAAGTTATTTTTCAAATGCCAACTCGTCCTTAGCTCGTAGCCCCATCTATAAGCTAAACCGATGTCTCATTCCGTAAAGACAAATTTTACCTGTTGTTGGCACGGGGACCAATCACTTTTACTTGACCATTTATACCATCGCTCCTTTTCCAAAGAGAAATTATGAGAGAAATGAAGACTCAACATTTTTTTGAGAAAACATGGGCTGTAAAAAAGACGCTGGTATAGGCTTATGAAAATTAGGCATCACGTCTCACATATGTAAAATAGATCAAGGAGGGAGAGGTCAGGTTGCTTGCGAGACAAAGAAACCAATCAAAGTGTATTGTGTTTTTTTTCCTGTACTCATGTCCACGTGGATCGAAGATGATTGTGAAAGAGTCCTCTGTACAAAGTGGGACCAAAAACCTATCTTAAACTGAGTATATAGCTGTCTCAGGCAGGGTGGCCGGAGGATAGGGCGCCACTACCTCTGTCGGTTTATCTACCGATTGCAGATGAGGCAGAAGGTAGTCAGGAGGCGTAGTTAGCACCAAGCAAGAGGAATGCGACGGCGGCTGTGATGGCGGGGCCTGAGGAGGATATTCACAAGCCTCTACAGCGTTCGGTTGAGGGAAACTACCCTCAAAGTAGAGAGTTGATGAGTTCTCATGGAAAAAGCCTCCACTGCTAGGGTAGGGGGAATTGGTAATTTGATGCGTCCCGTCAGCTGCGCTACCACCTCCTCCACAGAAGGGGGGAGTGCTATAACCGGATCCACCTTCTCCACCACGCATAGAGTTTTCGCTCATATCGCCCCCGTTCTCAAAAGCTGCCGGATTAAGACGCTTCTGCTTTTGGCGTCGATTGCAGAACCACACCCTCACAACCTCTTTTTCTAGTCCAAGGGTATCCGCCAAGTTGGTAATGTCCTGCGCAGCAGGTTTGGGTTGCCTAATGAAATGACCTTCCAGTACTCCTTTTACTCCCACTTCGATGCTGGTGCGCTTTTTCCGTTTTCTCCCTTGAGTGGTTACCTTGTCGAAGTTACTAGTTGTGCTAGTGCAACAGTCGGCCTCGTGAAGCCACTTCTGCAGCAGGGGTTTGAGCTTGCACATGTTCTTAAAGGATAGCTGTAGGGCTTCAAATCGACATATAGTCGTCTGACTAAAGACATTTCCATAGAGGGTGCCAAGTGCTAAGCCCACATCAGCTTGTGTATAGCCCATTTTGATCCGTCGTTGTTTAAATAGCTTCGCAAAGTGTTCCAAATCATCAGAAGAAGGAAATTCTTCCTGAGGCTGAGAAAGATTCTCACCTCCTGAGTTGGGTGACGACGCAGTGCCAACCTGAGATAGATCAAAATCGGCATTGTCGGCTTGAGGGATGAGCCTGTAGGCAGCTGGAAGAGAAAACGGAGGAAGGAGGGGGAATCCGGTGGAAATTGCGTCCTCATTTGGAGACTTCATAACATCAGGCTCCGCACTTGGTAAAACCGTCGAAAGCTGTTCGGAAATCAGTGAGTTAGTGACATTTGCAGGAGGCGGCGGTGCCTGGTGCTGTGCTTGAGGTGGAGCAATATATGGGGAGGGGTTCCAAACTTCTCCCTCCTTAAAACACAGCGGAAGCGATTCAATGCCAGCGGAGCGCAGGAGGTGGTTCACTTTGGTCTCAGGCTCACTGCCCGAATTATTGGCGGCATTTAGGTCGGACTCCAGAGAGGAGGTCGAAATCGTTGCAGTTGATTGGTCTTCGGGCTGAAAATGTACCAGTGGCAAATGCCCATTTATGGAAAAGGGATACGGAGGCTTCATCTCATCACCTTGCGTCACATACTCCTCCGTTTCAGGAGCCTGGAATGTGTGCTGATTAGATCCTTCTGTTGAACCTCTAAAGGGCGTTTCATAGACATTATCAGGACGCGGCAAAGAGTAGAGCAAAAGATCAGGTTTGGTTTCCTCTATAATCAGGGACTGGGTTTCCTGTACGCCTCTTGACCAGCACGGATTGTACTCAGCAGTTGAGAATTGAGTGTAGGCTTCAGGAGGGAAGGGAGAGGTGCTCTTCCAGACCTCATCATTCTCTGGATTCCAGGGTAGTACATGATTCACACCGAGAAAATTTTGGTGTGGTGGAAAGAGTCCTGGATACTGTGCTTCATGCCCAGTAGTGTAGACGGAAAATCCAGGTTGTTCAAATTGCCAGGAAGGCACAAACTGTTGTGCTGGGTCTAGAGCCATGGAGTTGACGGGATAGGCCGTGCCTTGCTCTTCGGTCCCCTCAGCTCCCGCCTCGAGGTGGTAAAAGGCGTTACCCTTTTTGCTACCGCGTTTCCGCCCATCCTGGCCGTTGCTGCTACCATCAAGGATGGGAGATGTGGGCTTTAGACAGTCAGGTGACTGATTGGGAGGAAAATCGATGGTGCTTTGGTGGCGCGGATGCTGATTAGGATCGTCGCTGCATATCATTTTGTGGTCGACTGCCCGAAGCTGCCTTAATCTTGGTGCGGGTGTGTGCGAGCAGTGGCTGTGCTTGTGCGCACGTGCGTCCTATCGCTGTGATGCGCCAAAGCAATCACACGGACCCTCTTGCGCTTCGTGAAAGCTGTAACCAATCAAAAGCTCCATTTTTGCGTGTACGCGCTCGTGCACTCACCAGCCAACTGCGAAGCCGTCACGCGAAGCAAAACTGTTCTCCCGCTCATGCTCGTGTGCGCTCTCCGCTTTAAGATTAGTAGCAGGGATTAATTCGTGTAAACTAACTCTAGGTGACCAACTTTCAACGGACATACCCAAATATTGAGGAAGCAAATAAACGCGTTTCCAAAGGTGTAAATGCTTTCATGGTAGACATAGTTTTGGCCAGTTGTCACAAGTTAGCGTGTGTTTCTCAAACAGTAAGCAGTGACAAATTAACCCAGAGTTATTATCCTGAGTCATAAATGTTAGTTTATTTGAGACGAAGCAAAGTACGGACCAAGTTAGGAAGGCAATGAAAAGAAAAACAAGGATGGCCATTTGTCGACTCACGCGCTTCGGATCTTAGGAATACATGAGTTCTTCCCTGAAGTCAAACATCCCATTAGAATATAAAGATAACTTATTTTTCGTAATAATTGTTGAGGAAGACTGGTGTTTCTGATGTCTATTGAGTGAGCCACAGATGCATTTCGTTTTGTCACTATTCGCTTAGACATCTAAATAAAATATTATATGCTTTTTGAGCTAAGCGGTCGGTGTACTAATAGCAGTTTGTAGTTCATTACAACTTTAAAGCAAGTGCTGGGAGCAGGACTTGTGATCTACCGTTATGAAAATCTGAGGAAAATGATCACTCTGAATGTCATTCAAATGACTCTGCAACCAATAGGAGTAGGAAATCCCTTTTATAGAAAGGGAAAATGGAAATCAGTTCTCAAAATGACACTTTCAGAACTATTCGCCAACTTACAATTAATTAAATTCTGCATTGCAAAATAAGGTTTCAAGCATACTTTTTTGTTTCAGATTTTGGTGTCTATTTACAGCCAAATTGTTCTTATCAGTAATACAATCAAAACAAGAGATTATAGATAAGGGTGCTAAATTTGGTCTTATTTAAATTTCCTATGCTTGCTTTAAAAATTAGGTTTGCAAAATTTCGTGATCTCAATAACACTGAACAGTAAATTTGTGCCCATTCAGCCCATTTGCACCTCTTTCCTTGTTAGAGTCTCAAATTAATCTGTAAAGTTGTACAAACTTGATAACATCAAACTCGAGTTGAGATATGGCAACTGAGAGCAATCACCTTATTCTACCAAAATAGTTGGAAAACTAGCTTAAATTTAGGGTCGTTGTCTCAGATTGTTTTGGCATTAAAATACTAGACCACTTGCGAGTTTGGTTAGTAGCCTTCGAGGCTGGGTTCTGATGGACACTCTAGTGCCTGTTTTGACACCAGACCACGCGACCAGCACCTGCCCATGGGGGTAAGGGTGTAGGGTGGGCGAAGACATGCTCCACTCACCTCTTTCTTTCTCTTCCTTGTGGTGGTGTTGGGCAGCCGACCAGCCACCTGTGGCTTGTCAACGTGACAACTCGCGTTATCACTCTCCCCGTGGGTCCGCACACCGCAAACACACGTACACATACCCACTCGTGTCACACTCATTTGATTTGCAAATCAGCCTCTCTCCCCTTGCTCTGTGTAGTTATCACTCTAGTGGGAGATGGGGCAAGGGACCCCACAAGTAGCCTCCGCCCTCCTTTCCCCCTGCCCCGCCGTCCATTGGTGTCCCGCTTTGATCGAGGGTGCGGATAACCATAAATCTGAAGGCGACTGCACCACTTGGGTCGAAAGGACACAATGGTGGGAGGGGTGAGAGTGGCGAGGAAGGGAAGCGAGGAGTCTGGTGAACAATCTGCAAAAGGGTTGACAAATTACATGTTTTAATAAGACTTCACACCCTGTTTATGAAGAGCACGTCCAGTAGTGCCTTTTGGATGTTAAGTTTTACAGGATGCTTCAGACCTGTGGATTTTAATAGCACAATTTTGGGCCTGAAATTTCGCTATGAAATATCTACAGCATAAATTGTCTAGTTGCATCACAGCCGTTTCGTTACTCAAGATTTTTTTTATTTCGGGCCCAAATTCAAGCAAAGTAACGTTCAATTACTAAAGCCTTAACCTCAAAAAACCTTCAAATGAAATTTTAGCCTGCAGTTTGCTATAAAGAAGTTAAAAAATCAGCTTATTTTTGTTTTATTGAGAAGGCAAAGAAGTTATTGCATGAAACAAAAGCTCAAAAGCCCTAATGTTTTCTTTATTCTTACGGAGTACGAAATGGTGTGTGTGCGTGACCATTATTGTTGACCTCGAGATTTGACCTCTCAGATTTGCTAACTGCATGGGTTTAGGAATTCAAACGAAATTTTTCAGTTGCAATTTTATGCAGTTTGTATAACTAACTGGATTTGTACATATATCAGCCCAATTGCTACTCGGAATATTTCGCTATTAACATTTCGCCAGGATCTAGAGGAAGTTTACTCACAAGTAAGTAGCATTTGCTGACTGTAAAACAAAACGGCCAGAATCTAGTCGGCTCTTCCAGTTACCGGTGTGCGGCTGATTGTTACGACTGATTGCACATTCCCCGCTGGGGTTATTTTAATAAAGCGCTATGCTCCTACAAGTTTAGGTCATTTACGACCGCTTCTAACGAATGAGCATTTTTATCACCCAAAACGTGTGTAGGAAAAAGCACTTTTGGCGTCATTACACAGCACCAGGGAATGAGACAAAGGTGTGTGTGCGAATGAGTGTAAAAGCGAGTTAGAGCGATCATTTTTTGTGAAAGTGCCTCTCAAGAGCGGGTCAAAGTGACAAACACACAAGAGCACATGCGGTGTGCAGGAGAGAGCTCATTTGAATTGGTAATTTGATGTTCGTGCGCGTATTCGTGGGTGCGTGTACACGAGATGGCCCATTTTGCAACGTGACATGCAAAAATTGTTGGCAAGTTGAGTGCCAGACTGTGCGATTATGTCATTTAGAGATGAATAGTCACAGAGCTCAGCGCTGCTCTGCAGGAGACAACTCGCTTTCACACGTCTGCTCATCGAAACCAATTCCACTTACCAAGTACTGCAAAATTATCTTAGCTAGCACTGTCTAGCAGTGGGTTATAACTACTGTATTTGCCACAACAAGAGCTGGGAAAGATAAGTGTTTGTTACTGATAAAGTGGTGAAATAGCATTGCATTACATTCCACATACTTATGCATTACAAAGGTTTGAGCAGATCCAAGACACGGAGGATTATATGGAGCTTCACTAAACTACACTACTTGTAGAATGTTTGAAGCCAGCTTTCTAGAGTTTTGATTGTAAAGACCACTAATGGTCGACACTTTGGGTGGCCCTTGCTATTTCAATTCCCCAGGGTATGTGACTACTACTAGTCTTTATCCTCTATAAACAATCTGATAGCCTACCGAGGATTATGGACATGCGACAAAAGCGGTTTATATTTGCTAGTGAGCTTTGTTCAATTTTTGTGTAAACAATTGAATTTTTTGACCATGATGGACCGCAAAATTTGACGTTTGGAGATGGGGAGGACCTTTCAACAGGAGACCTGTTAAGAGCTACTTTCGTCATCGGCTATGAACACTCTAATCGAGACTAGCTGTTAGCAACGACACTGAGCACAAGCAGCATACCAGCAATCAGGTATACTGCAATAGTCTTTTACTTTCCCATAAACCTTCCAGGTTGTTGTGTTATAAGTTGACAAGCATTTTAGCCTAGAAGGTAAGTAGTTTAATCTTTTATACTTGTGAAGCTCCCTCGATCTATAAATAGTGGATTTAATGGATGTTTAAAGTGAAACCGCATCTTTCAATCACCTTATTTTGATTAAATTCGGGTTAACAAATTATCACTATTTGGGCAAGGTGGATAGTTGTGAACTCAACTTGTATTTGCTAAACCTGTGTGATTGGCGAAACCAACTTGCTACTAGGACAGTGGGAGCGTTCTTCAATCGCTTTGCTGGAGTGTCTTTTGAAAATCAAATTAAGAATATTCTGAGGATAGCACATTTTTGCCCAATAGCAACAGCATAAATGTGCAATCTTTGGCCATCACCACCAAAATGCAACATTTAAACCAGTAGTTTTGACACTAACCAAGAGATCTCGTCTTAACGGTGCCAATACAAGCGGATGGTTCTTACAAATTGGAGATGTAATGAAGAGCGTTGCTGCTGATATGACATTCGAGCAGTAGTTCATTTGAAATGGTGGACATACATTAGCGGTCATCATAAATTGTATTACCAAGCTAGAGACTTATCTGAAAGTCTAACTTAAGGGCTTGAAAATTTAAATTCCATGGTTGCGGCAAATAAAAGCATAAGTTCGTGAACAATGCCCAACCACAACGTTCATTTCTTGCTTTAGCCTATGAACTCTTGATAAAATCGAATCAGTTGAGGTCATTGAAAAGGCGTTTTGGCATTTTGCCCCTGGCATTCCTTAAATGCTGTCGCCTTAGGCAGTAATGAAACCGTTTCCATATTTGCGGAAGATACAATCATTTTCAAAAAGGTTACGTAGAAATTGGATTCAAAGCGTCACTTCAGTTCTTTATGCAACAACAAAATTGCTTTTTTTGCTTTGGAGGGGATAAAGTCTTGTTGGGCCACGTTTGTTAGCAACTCGCAGCACTTTCCTATCTATTTTAAATTGGTTGTTAAACAGCAAGAAATGGCATCATTCACACGTAGCAGTGAGGCAAACAGGGAGAGTAAGATTGAAGGTAAGATGAGATCATTTTCTCTCTCCACTCAGTAGGGAGTCAAAATCACCGACAACTGTTTTTAGGAGTAACGCACATTATACGAACAGACTTGTTTAAAGATTATTTCGTACAACCTTGTAATTTTCAGCACGCAGATAGTCTTTTGCTACAATTCGTC